TTGTAATCGCTAAACATTTCTAAAATGAGATTTATGTTTTTTGGATGCAATATGAAATGTACGAAAAAACATCTTACCCATTTCCGTCTGTCTGTCACTAATCCTTTTCAAATTCCAAATTTTCACGTGAGGTTACTAACATAACAAAGTTCAAAATCAATTTATTCCATACAATGATTTTGTTTGTTGCGTCTTCAATTATATCTGCCTTTCCTAGAGAAAACAATTCTTGACTTAACCGATATAGATACAGAAAATGTGAACCTTGGGTCTCTGGCGTATATATTCGCAAATTATGACAATGCCAGCCACTGTAATTTTCCAAATTCTCCTGACCCAAAACCATATATCAGAATAGAGGATAATGATGGTCGCAAGTCCACGGTTTGCGGTCCGATCGTTACAACAGTAGCAGGATAATCCGCTTAAGGCGATTTATATACATATATATTTTGTCTTTTTTTCATTATTTATAAATCATCTCGCCACGCCGGCAAGTCCGGTTCTGACAACGGCCGCTAGTGTGCGGAGGCAAGGGTTCTGGCCAAATTTATATTGGGATTTATTTATTTATTTATTTACAAATTAACGGGATAAACCCATTCGGTTACAGGTTGTAAACGTACAATCTTAACCTAATAAAATTCACACACATCATAAATAAAGTATCTAACATATGAACATAAAGTTTTACTATTTACTAAATTAAAATATTAAAACGTGCATAAAAAAGTTACAAACAAATACTAAAAAAAAAAAAACTGAACAACTAAACAACACAGCAAACATCACCAGCAATTAAGACATTTTAAAACTTTAGCTAAGAATTCTATCTTTAAGGAACTTTTTGAGAGAGCATAGTGAAGTATTAAAAAGGTCTATATCACAGTCATTACAATTTCTCATTATCCTATCCATGCTACTATTCGAGCCATACAAAGTTCTATGCCGACAAGGTTCAAAGGATCTTCGTTCTCTTAAATGCCTAGGAGAAACATAAAAATTTAGCTTTAGAAGCAGGTCTGGGCAGTGGTAAACACCATGAATTAATTTATAAGCAAAAACAATATCTGCTGAATCTCTCCTGGCTCTTAGGGATCCAATCCTTAACTCCTTTTCAAGAGCATTATAGTCTAAATTCTCAATAGAAATGTGTTTTTTGTAAGCTATATACCGTAGAAATTTTCTCTGAACCCCGTCAAGCATGTCCTGATAAGTTACATAATATGGAGACCACACGCTGCCGCAATTTTCTAGATGAGATCGCACCAGTGAAGTATAGAGAGTTACTATAGCTCCAATGTTAGTAAATTCAGATGTTTTTCTTTTTATGAAGCCCAACATTTTTAAAGCTTTATTTCTTTAACCTCTATGTTCTGATAAAATGTTACTTTGCTATCAAATATAACACCCAGGTCTTTAACAACATTCACATTTTGAAGTTGGGTATAATTTATGTGATAACTGCTGACTATATTATTGTTAGACTTTGAAAATTGAATGTATTTACATTTGTCTGTGTTAAGGATCATTCTATTTTCTTCACTCCATTTAACAAATTGATCAAGGTCACTCTGAATCTTTAATGTTGAGTTATTATCAGAAAGAGGTAAATAGATCTTGACATCGTCAGCATGGGATGGGATGGGGATGGGAGCGCCGAATCGGAGCGAGGTTTTTCCATGCTCAAGCAATTTCAAAGGCGAAGCCTAAACACCGGAGTGCCCTGACCGTAAGTTGGTTACAGGAAGAATCCCATTTCGGAGGAGAGGTGGGATATGCCGGCGATTGAAGGGGGAGGGGGAGGGTTGCCAACTTGTTTTACAAGAAGTAAAGAATATTTTTGTCTGAGGGGGAAACTATACAGTATTTTTAAAAAACGAACAATATTTACTTATTTATTAATACTTTTTTGGTATTATTACTACATACGAGGGATGTCTTTTAAGTTTTGCATATAGAAAGTGGCCCTAAAATACTTGCGTTAATCGTTTTTTATACAAACGGAGGAATGTGGCACAAATAAGTTAGATTTTGTGCCATCGCTTCTATTGTTAAACATTCAATGTATTAATGCATTTAAAGTTGACGAATTGATCTTAACAATGATGAACTTTAGTAGCATAACTTTCGTGTGTTTGACTGAGACTTGGGCCTTGAGCGAATCAATAAAAAATTTTGTAATCGACGACTTTCACATTTCTAGTCACTATTGTAGATCACAGTACAAAGGAGGGGGCACAGCCTTATATTCCCGGAAAACTGTATCTACCAAAATTATAGATCTTACCAATTTTTGTGTTGAAAAACAGATAGAACTATGGGCTTCTCAATTTAAAGACAACGGTATAACCACGATTATCATTGTATGTTTATAGATCACCTTCAGGGGATATAAAAGTTTTCTACGATAAATTGGGTCAAGCAATACATTCCGTTTATCAGCCGTACCACCACATAATTTTATGTGGCGATTTCAATATAGATTATTACAATCAAGGTACTGAATGTGGAAACCTGAATAGTGTCCTCAGTGAATTCAATTTGTCTCCATCAGTGGGATGGCCGACAAGAATAGGACGAAGTTCAGTCACCACTATTGATCAGATATTTACAAATTTTGAGGACAGTGGTACTTCCTGCGCTTTAGAGAATAATATGTCAGACCACAGGACAGTCTTCTTCGAATTCCATGGAAATATCTCAACAAAAAACAAACCTAATAATATCTGGAAAAGGTCCTACGATGAAGACTCAATGAACAAATTCATATCAGATATATGTGCTGAAGATTGGTCTCTACTATATAACATGATCGATGTTAGCCTCGCGTTCGGACATTTTTTTGAGGTATTTAACTACCACTTTCAAATAAATTTTCCACAGCGAATGCATGCGGTTTCAATCAAAAGAAAATTGTGGGTGAACGAAGAAATAGTGCGTTCTAGTCACAATTTAAAGGAATTTCATTATTTAGCAACAGTAATTCCAGAATGTAAACAACAATATATTGAAAAAAAGAGACAACACAAGAAATTAGTAGAACTTACAAAACGAAGGTATTATCAGAAAAAAATATTTGACTCCAGCAACAAAACTAAAGCTGTCTGGAAGACTGTATCTGAACTGACCGGAAATAATACAAAAAAAACAATAATATGAGTTCGACTACTACATCCAATCAGAAAATCCGTGCTGATGAATTCAATCAGTTTTTCAAAAGTGCACCTCTAAAAATCGTAAGAAATATTCCAACAAATCCCATTCATGATAATACCTTTAGTTCGAGCAGGGAAGATACACAGCATTTGATGTTGCTGTATCCATTTACTCATGATGAATTATTTGACCTAATTAATAAAAAGCTAAAAAACAAACATTCGTCTGGGCCTGATGAGATCCCAAATTTTATAGTAAAAAAAGTATTGAATTACATTTTAAAGCCACTGGACTTCATGATCAATATATCATTCTGCACTGGGAAATTTCCTTGTCTGCTAAAAACAGGAAAGGTGATTCCAGTATACAAAAAAGGGGATCCCTCTGAGCTGAGTAACTACAGACCAGTAACAATACCATCAACTTTTTCAAAAGTATTCGAGTACTGCTATCTGGACAGGTTGTTTTTGTTTTTGTTAAATAATAATATTTTGACAGAGAATCAGCACGGTTTTCGAAATGGGAAATCTACGGCAACAGCAATTCACAGCTTCTACGGAACTCTTGTCAAAATGATTGAGGCCGGCGAGTGCCCTGTTGGGATCTTTTGTGATCTCAGCAGGGCATTTGACTGCGTCAATCATGAAGTGCTGTTGCAAAAAATGTCAAAGTATGGCATAAATGGTCCACCATATCACTGGATAAGGTCTTTTTTAGAGAATAGGTCCCAATTTGTAAGTATCGTCGATAGTGGTCTGAATGCGCCTATTAAGTCCGACGTAGCTGACATCTCCATAGGCGTCCCTCAGGGCTCTATTCTAGGACCTGTGCTATTCAGTCTATATGTAAATGACCTTGAGTTCTGTTCCTCTGAAGGTAGATTCATTTTATATGCAGATGATACTTCAGTGGTGATATCGAATAAGTGTGAGGCTACATTAGAGAGATATTGTGGAGTTTTATTGCAAGGTATTCACAAGTGGTTTAGCAGCAATCAGCTCTATTTGAATTCTGAAAAAACATCAGTTGTCCAATTTCACAACATCCAGAAGAAGCCTAGGACATTAAATATCACTTTTAATGGCTCAAGAATGTCTCTTAACACGCAAGTTAAATTCTTGGGCTTGTATCTAGATACATGTTTGAATTTTAAAGACTACTGTGTATATATTGCTTCAAAGATAAACTCCCAATCATATCTTATGAAAAATTTGCGAACTGTCCTTACCGAAGCACAGATAATTTCTGTTTACTATGCTCAAGTTGAGACACGACTGAGGTATGGACTATGTTCCTAGGGTTTGTCTACAAATGCCCAACAAGTATTTTTGGCCCAAAAAAGAGTGATTAGATGCATGATGGGAGTCAGCAGTAGGCATTCTTGTAAGGATATTTTTAAGCGCCTTAAGATTTTAACTTTACCATCTTTATTTTTATATGAAATGGCTGTGTATACTTTTATTAACAAAACTAGGTTTTTAAACAATTTTAACTCGTACTCGACCAGACAAGCTGGAGACTTGAATGTGTATTTTGCCAAGTATAAGATCGGCCGGAAATACTGGGTCCACGAATTTTCAATAAACTACCAAAACATATTAAAGACTGTGGAGATATACATAATTTTAAGGCTAAGCTGACAGATTTTCTTGTGTGTAAATGTTATTATGCCGTCTCTGAGTTTGTTATGTTATGATTTATTTGTGTGTTTGTTTTATACATATATTTATTTTGTGTTGTTTTATTAGTTATTATTCCGACGAATCCTATACATACTTTGTAATGTCTCTTGGGATAATAAAAGAATTTGAATTTGAAACATAGTAGGCCGCGCGGATCGAATGTCAGTACTGAATATAAACCTCACTCTTCCAAGGTGAAGATAAGCCAACAAAAGTCATCCGTTCTCGAAGTGTTTCGAAAAAGATGGTCGCGACATTTGTGTCAAAAGCGGGTCATATTGCAACAATTCCTCTTAATGAGCAAAGAACTCTTACTGCAGATTGGTATACCACTATTTGTTTGCCAAAAGTCAACACCGAGCTTCGAAAAATCAACCCCGAAAGAAGAATCATCCTCCACCAAGACAATGCAAACTCGCACACAGCCCAAAAAACAAGGCCATATTTAACGGAAGAAAACGTGGAATTATTGGACCATCCTCCATATAGTCCCGATCTAACTCCTAAAGATTTCTTTACTTTCCCGAAAATTAAAAACAGGCTGAGTGGTCAAAGGTTCCAGTCACCAGAAGAAGCAGTTGACGCATTCAAAAATGCCGTTTTGGATCTGCCAGCAAGAGTGGAATAAGTATGATTCGAAAATTGGTTTGAGCGCATGCAGATGTGTATTAATCTTCGTCGTCGTCTTCGAAAAACAATAAAGTCATTTAAAACTACCTACCGTGTTGTTTTATTTCCATATGCAAAATTTACACTACAATTAAAATAAATAAGGAGCTCATTTTTTGTTAAATTTAATGAAGCTCTATTTCTGTCATACCGTCACTGCATTACTCACCATTTTGTAAATGCTGAGGTAGGGGGAACAGAAAGTAGATATGAAACAATCTTAGTAATATTATTAAATTCTTCTAACAGAGTTCTCAATTTTTGACCAGTACTCATTTCGTGAAAATCTTTTTCCTTGGATACTTTTTCATAGAGATGGACATTTCAACGCACATTCTCGTTTTATTTCTAAATAGTTCTGTAGACACCTGTCTGTGAAGCTTAAAACTTATATATATATATATATATATATATATAACTTGAGACGTGGTCATTGTCGTCTAGACCAGTTAGGTGAAAAATAAAGCTTCCGCCTTTTGTTGGGTACTTCGACAAAATTTAAGCAAAGAGGACTCTTTATACTTTTTTAATTCTCTCTAGCTTTCAATGGACTTTGTCATATACTATTCACTATTTAGTTCACCTTCCAATATTTTGCCGAACTCTGGTGATGCAGGTATTAGTCGCACAACCCCTAATAACGGAACTGATGTAATTCCCAATAATAACATCAATCCAAACAGTACAAGCACCAACCCGGACTCCAGACCTGGTTTTGCTGTCCTGCCCTATATCAAGGAACTGACCCCTAAGCTGATCAGATTGTGCAGTCCTTTGAACTTTCGAATTGCTTGCAAATCCGTCCTCACTATAAACTGCATTTTTTCAAAAATGAAAGACAAAGTCCCGCTGCTTGGCTTAACCAACACAGTCTACTCCATCAATTACAACAACTGCAACCAAATATACATAGGTCAGACCTCCAGATCTCTTAAAGGAAGGATTACATCACACAAAAGTGATGCTAGGCTTCATCCTGAAAGATGCGCTCTAGCATCTCATGTTAACACAACAGGGCATTCTATGAATTACACAAGTATCAAAGTTCTTGATAAAGAAAAACACCTTTCCAAACGTTTATTCCTGGAAATGTCCCACATCTTCATGAATAACAACTGTATCAACAAAAAGACAGATGTTAAACAACTGAGTGTCATTTACTCATATTTGCTAAACTGCGAAAAATTGGAGAACTTACATATCTCCCCAAATTTCGACTCTTCACAACCATAAATAGAATCTGTGTTTTGGCCGATTCCACCAGTAAATTTCATTCCACTCAAAATATAATAATTCTCTTCTCACGATTTATTAATAATTGTTAATTTAAATCCCCATTAATTAAAATATAGTTTATTCAACTGCCTCTGGTCGGTTTAACAAATTCTTACATAACATTCTGAAAATCACATCATCTGAAGTGATTTGGCAACGTTTGGCACACGCCCACAATTCGTTCCATCTTTCAACACAGACATTGACAACCTTCGGCCTTCTGTCAAAGGGTTTCATCTCACTCATTATTCCATGACCACTATTTTGTACAATCATCAAGTGGCTTCACGATGTAATGCTCTAATGTTTTTTTTTAAATAATTTTTAATCTGTTTTTAACTTGTTCTTGTCATATTTTATATAATTTTGACCATTGTACAATCTATCCAGCTCTCACCATGTTACTGGACGTTTCCCTCATCCTATACGTAAACAACAATTAGCAACATCCTCACATACTACTGTAAGTTGAGTCAATTTAAATTCATTTTACACTTTTGTTGCTACTGTTATCATTGTAATTGCAGCTCCTGATGATGATGGCAAAGTCCATTGAAAGCAAGAGATAATTAAAAAAGTATAAAGAGTCCTCTTTGCTTAAATTTTGTCGAAGTACCCAACAAAAGGCGGAAGCTATATATATATATATATATATATATATATATATATATATACTTTATTTTTGTACAAAAAAAGGTATCATCATGATCGCTTATTGCTTTGGAGAGGCTGAAGGTCTTTTGGGATTCTCATGGAGGGGGCATCCTGCTGCGGGCGCCCATGGGATGGCTTTCTCAAACAACTTGTAGGTGGAGTTTTTCACCTGCTTGCATACGCCAATGTTACAATAAAATACTTGTTTGTTCATGAAACCAGTCCTGTGCTGTGCAGAAAATAAAGGAAGAGAGGGAGAGAGAGATGGGGACAGGCGTTGCCGTCCGTCACGTTTCATCGCTTTGCGGACGTCATCTTCGGCTGCCGCTTCGCCGCCTCTCGTCCCGCATTACCACCGTGTGCCAGTCTCGTCTGGGGTTGGTTTCAACGCGTTTTGGGTCATTCAAGGGGGGTGGCGAGTGGGAAATTTAAAGCGGGGAGGTTTGCAAAAAGCTTGTGGATAGTATGAAAAAGATCGACTATTGACCTTGATTAGGGTAGGATATCATGTTGGGATCATGGAAACCAAGACGTTTAACATGCGAACACTTTGAACATCAAAAAAAAAACAACAACAATGAAGGATTCTTTTGGGAAATCATGCACATTTTTGTCTATCAGCGTGTAATCTTGCCTTCCATCTGAATTTTTATGGTCGTAGTGTAATATTTTTTAAAGTAAAAGCATTGGAAGAAGTGTGTAAAAAAACATGAAAAACAGGAAGCATCAGAAACTGTAAAATCTTGTTTTGTGCTATCTTCAAGTCACAGATATGTCGATTTGTGTTTTTTTGGAGCAAACTCGTGTCAAAACTAATTGCTTCTTGAACATACAAATTATATTAAGTGACATATAAATCCGAACACCCAGTTTAAATGGTTTTATTTTAATAAAAGTTGGTGAATGTATTTATCTTACTGTAAATAACAAGTGAAAAAATTTTCAGCCTTATCAGTTGGACATTCCGTTTTTTATACTGCTTTTTTTTTAATTCACTAACGCTCTAAAAATGAATATTTCAGCCGCAGTAAAGAATCAACGTTGGCGGATTTTGGTTCTTGACATCCTTTACGATCGGTTACGATGCCTAGAGTACGGAGACCTGTACGATTTCGTCAACTTAGTGAGTTTGATAGGGGTCGTATAGTGGGACTTCGGGAAGCTGGACTTTCTTTTCGGACAATTGCAGTTAGAGTGCAAAGAAGTGTAGACACTGTGGTTAGGTGTTGTCAGGCATGGCTTCGAGAAGGCCGTACGCAAAGAGCAAGGGGCACTGGACGCCGCCGTAGAACAACAGACCGTGAAGATCGCCGCCTAAGATTATTGGCCTTAAGGGACCGTTTCTCCACTACCAGGTCCATTGCAAATGAATGGTTTGCAGAACACGGAAGACCTATTGGCATGCGAAGTGTTTACCGACGAATGAGAAGTTTTGGCTTGTTTTCATACCGGCCACACTGGGTCCTCCCTTTAACTCGAGAACACCGACGTAATCGCCTTGAATGGTGCAGACAACGGTCACTCTGGGATCAGGAATGGAACAGTATTGTCTTTAGTGACGAGTCTCGATTTTGTTTAGGCATGCACGATGGTCGTGCTAGGGTTAGAAGGCGACGTGGTGAAAGGAGGAATCCACAGTTTTTTGTTGAAAAACATGTTCATCACACTGTTGGAGTTATGGTTTGGGGTGCTATAGCTTATGGTTCCAGGTCACCTTTAATCTTCATTAGAGGTAACATGAACGCGCAGCGTTATATCCACGAAGTTCTAGAACCCCATCTTTTACCCTATCTTGACACCCTGGCAGATCCAACTTTCCAAAGGGCTTTAAAGCAGTGCAATCATTTTGAAATTTTTATCATTTACTTATTCTGCTTCATTAAGTACTTATACAAAATTTTATTAAAATAAAACCATTTAAACTGGGTGTTCGGATTTATATGTCACTTAGTATATGTTTGGTATTTATATAGGAAGACGGGCAATAATCCAATATCATAGCATTTATGCCCCAATGGGGCCCTTTTATGCCCACCTTAAGGGTCCCTCGTTACCTAATTTACATAAAAGGCTAACGTTCCTCCAGAATGGATACTCTGATTGATAAGACGGCTGGACAGTTGCAAATATTGTCTCATCTTCCTGTTAACATCTTCTACATGTGTCACTCACTCTCATGTTTTTTTTGCTGACCTTGTCCAATTGCAAGGCTACTGGCAAACCGAAGTTGTGGTAGTTTTTTGCCACTTCCTCACTAGGATCGCTGAGCAATTCTTTAGCGAATAAGTACCGGACGCATCATCCTACATGCTCTTGTAGATTTTGTGGATGCGCTGTTGCATCATCTCACAGTTGTCATAGCTCGGATGCGTGAAATGCAGAGCCTTTGAGTCCAGAACTATGAATTCAGCAGCCAAAATTCTCAATCAAGGGCGGATTCAGCGACGGTTATAGACACGTCATGACCGAAGCGAGACCGACCAGCCAACGTAAACAGAAAAACATTAGCTCTTGGAAGCACTGATGCAGCTGAGCCAATTTTTTCTTGTTCTGAATCAATCTCGAAGAAGAGCGCTTATTTCATCCTTTGCCTCAGTGCGCAAAAGTTATGTTATTAGTGGTGGAGGCACTCACAAGTACCAAGTGGATGTCTAGTACTGTCTCGTTATGATATTGAGAATACTTGAGAGTCAGTCTGCTTCTCGTAGAGATGCCACTATTTTTGTATGTGACATTTCTGTGGGCGATGTTCGTTAGGCTGGTATGACCAAAACAGGTCTGCCATCCGTTCGGATTAGTCCTAGATTAGGCATCTGGGGGGAGTTTTTAAAAAGTGTATAGGGATTCCTCGAATACTTTAAGTGTCGCATGGTCAAAGAAATGTTTTGTTGTATACCCCAGTATAATAGCTCACATCACCCCGGTACGATCCGCATTGCCCTGTACAAGCACATTCGCACCGCCCTGTACAACTAGCCAGGCGACGCCGTCGCAGTGCGCCTCCGCAGACAGGAAATCTAGAAGATTTTGGCTCACAATGTACACATTTGTTTGTCACAAAACATTGGCACATAGTGGTCCTGATTTTACTTTGTAGATGATTGAAAAATGATTTTTTTCCATATAATTTCCTGATAATTTTTCTTTGGATATGTATTGGCAGGAAGAAATCAGTTCCTAATTATTTTTGCTATCAGCTTACCTCAGAAAGAGAAGAGTATAATTCGTCGATTTTGTCAAACGTTAAATAAATCACTAACAAGGTAACATATTAAAATTAATTAAAAAAATTGAGAACGATGTTTTTATTCTTATTATAAAAAAATCCTGGGGATCCGGGGCTAAATCTCAATTTAATCCAAATGTCCGAGGTTTCTGAAGCTTTTGTCTGGCGTCGATCTACCATTTTTTCCGTTACCGAACCTTTTCTCAGATACTTCTGATATCTAAAACACAAAAGTATCTCTTATGATTTCGATAAAGCTTTTACAAGAATCCATAGGTGATACTTCAGCGGGCTGAACCTGTCAAACCAAGCATCCATATATACATCAGCTGCACTGTATTTTACAGATGGTTTATATTTAAAAAGCAATTAAATCGTTTCTGGGAACATTATCAACGCCGGCGCGGCTATCAAGAGCATTAATTTCATGCTCTCAAAACAGTGTACGTACAAAGTAAATACAAGCATTCCGCGTCAATCACTATCAATTGTTTTGACTAGACTTTAAAACGTCGACTTTTTATGTGGTGGCGGGATATTCTCAGACCGCTTGCTAGTTTCTCTAAAATAAACAACGCCGCATACTAGTACGACGCCCGACTGTGGAATAATTTTTTGGCAGATTCTTAGATAACACGTAGCATAGGTCATTCTACGTTAATATTGGAAATATATTTTCTCAAGGACAGCGTATCGGTGAACAGTATACAGCCAAAATTTTGCGTACAGCTTTCAATGTATGATAAACTTGTTTAAGCTATTTGTTGTTTTCCCGTGGCCGTTAACAAAATTTACAGTTATTGTACATCATGTTTAGATCAACGAAAATCAAATTAAAATTGATAACCGCATTGAATGAGCCATAAAGGATATCAGGTAAGAAAGCTTTTCAGAAGGATCCGCTTTCCAATGTTTTTTACCTATAAACGATCGGAAAAAATGTACTATATGGTGAGCACGGGAACTGTTCTTATTTCTTATCTGCTAGATGATGGCGTAAATACGGGCGCCGGTGGTGTATTAACACCGAATATTAATTTTCATTTTTAATTGTTCTTAAAAGCTACTCTGAATTTTTGATTTTAGTAGATAAAAGTATGTATGGATGCTCAAGCGTAATAAAAGCGTTTATGTCCTTTGCGACTTTAAGTTCCATAGACGCCCGTGTGGCGCCTTAAATACATAAATTACTATTTTTTTTAGATGTCGATAGGCCCAAACTTCTATTGCAGGGTCTGTTAGCTTCTCCATCTCTGACCATAACCAACCGTATACAACGTTGTTGCATGCCTTTTAGCTACCAGTACGGCGTAGGTCCAGTCACTGGAGATAGAAAACAAACGAGCGAAAATAGAAAAAGACTCAACATTGGTTGCTAAAAAGCATGAATTAACGACGTATAGCTACTGTGGTATACACAGAGCGTTCCTTGATGATATGCGAATATTTAAGGGTGTGAATCTACATGAAAAATTAATGTTAGTTTGCTTTATAAACTATGGTCCAAAAATGTGTCTTTACAAAAACTCGGGATGTTGAAGTTTTAGGGAAAAAAATGGAAATTAATTAATATTTTCAGAACCACTTCAGATATTTCACTGATATTTAGTAAGTAGTGAAAGTTAATAAAGTTGCATATTTTTCAATGCAAAAATAATGTTTAGCTTTAACAGTGGCGTGCGTACGGGTATTGACTTCGATATTTTTTAAGAAAAAAATGGTACGCCAATGGTTTTTTGCCAAATAAAAATTATTTTTGAATTCCCCGTTTAATTTAAAACAAATGATCTCTCTTGAATTGTTTTCCTCCGATGCGCCATTTTTTAGTAAAAAAATAAAAACCGTTCTATTGTCCGAGAAAATTAATGTTATAATTGAAGAATGCAATTTAGCAATAAATATCCAGTTGCTCCGGAATATCTCACTGGCCTTTGACATCTGACAAGTCTCTGTTATTCAGAGCTGTTCGCTGTGACATCTTTTCCATTATTTAGTTTTTACAATCTTGTTAATAATGGTGAATTATTCAAATGCAGAAATGGCGGAAATGCATTACGTATATGGCCTTGTCGACGGTAATGGTGAGCAAGCCAGACGGATTTACCATCAGAGATATCCCGATCGTGCTTCGCCAGATAGTCGAACCTTTTCTTTTAATTTTTCCAATTAAATTAATAATAATTTTGCAAGTTAGACAATAGAACGGTTTTTATTTTGTTACTCAAAAATGGCGCATCGAAGGAAAACAATTCAAGAGGTATCATTTGTTTTAAATTGAACGCGGAATTCAAAAATAATTTTTATTTGGCAAAAAACCATTGACGTACCGTTTTTTTCTTAAAAAATATCGAAGTCAAAACCCGTACACACGCTAGTGTTACAGCTAAAAATTATTTTTGCATTGAAAAATATGCAACTTTATTAACTTCCACTACGTACTAAATATCAGTGAAGTATCTGAAGCGGTTCTGAAAACATTAATTAATTTCCATTTTTTTTTTCCTAAAACACCCCGAGTTTTTGTAAGGAAACATTTTTGGACCTTAGTTTATAAAGCAAACTAACATTAATTTTTCAAGTTGATTCACTCCCTCAAATATTCGCATATCATTAAGGAACACCCTGTATAGTGTTAGTTATGGTTACATTAAGCCTTTGTTCGGTCCATGCAACTTTTGCATAGTACATCAAAACTGATTGATGAGACGCCTATGTGGCTGGCGACACTGTTGGTGACGCTTGTCCATTTTATTCAAGCTTGATGTTAATCAAAGATGCCGGAAAACTAAGTAGGGTTCAGTTGTACTGCATCCGGAGAACTACTCGTAGGTGGTAATGTCACTCAGTTTAAAAATACGTATCGTTGTGCATTTTAATTCTTATATTACCTGCACAAAGGATTTAAAAACGCAAAAATCTACTTATCAAATACATATGTCGAAATGCGGGTTTCAAACTTCAAACAATAGAACTGTCAAATCTGTTATAGGTCCTGATCATACGAGTATACCACCCCTTATCTTTTCCCACCAACCCGTGGTTATATGTGTTCTGATAAAACGTCCACCAAAATCAAAATGATGTATTCTACAATTCTACTATCAAGGGCAGAATAAAAAAGGCACTTCTATACTAGTTGCCCTCTAAACTGTGAAATAAAAATATAATATGGTCTAATGTGATATCCATCAAAACATGAATGCATACACATTTCCAAGCCTTGGCTGCTATTATGAGGGGTGCATACATACGAACCGGAATAAAAAAAATCCGTTTCCTTCTATACTAGTTGTACTCATAGACCGTGTGACCCCGCTAGGCGAAAGGTGTCCCTTTAAAAAACCCTACCACACACCATACCGTATGCATTATGCCTCGTACGATGACTGAAAATCCTTTTTAAACACCGCACCCGGTCTATAAATGTGCTTCGCCACCATTGTTTCCTATGAATCATCGGGACTAAGTTCTATTCAACAGGGGGTCCCTTTTCTATTTCCCCTCCTCATATGTTGTTTGCCATGGGTACAGAGTACCTAAGTCACCCTATACGTATCTACAGACCATATTTGCTGTACAGTTCTTGACGTATACAGGGTGAAGCGATCT